TAGCCAGTGGGGTGTGGCCCAGTGACTCAGCGGAATTGTCTGGCCCGGCGTGTCTGCTGCTGCGCACGCCTATCTCTTCGACGCTGGCGTGGATCCAGCCAAAACTTATCCTCTTCTGATTCCGATACTTCTGGCTCCTGGCCAGTCCCAGAAGTACCGGGCTCCTGGCCAAGTCCAGAAACACCGGGCTCCTGGCCAATCCCAGAAACACCGGGCTCCTGGCCAAACTCCTCGCTGTCGGAAGGCACCGAAGGCTGCACCAGAGGGGAAGGGCCGGGAGAGAGAGGCCTAGCCATCTCCTCTCCGTCATGTTCAGAGCCTTCCTCCTCTGATGAGAGGGACCCACCGGACGGAGCCACAACACATGGGTGCCAGAGGCGGCACTCAGAGCCCTCTCTGTGGGCACGCGCGCCGTCGCCCCAGTCCTAGGCCTTCAGCTGGGTTTTATAAAACCTTTTTGCTTTAGGCCTCCGCCGCCGTGTGCAAAAAAAAAAAAGGTTCAATCAATCAGTCAATTTCAACTTCTCGCGGGGAAAAAAAAAGATCTTGCAAAGTTGGAATTGATTGATTGAACTTTTTAGTCCCACCCAGTCTGGCGTTACCACCGCAGCCACGCCCACCCAATTGGCCACACCCACTTAATTGGCTACACCCACCCGGCACCCGACAATGCATAAGTGGGTTTTGTGTTGCAGTTTGGGCACTCGGTCTCTAAAAGGTTCGCCATCACTGGGTTAGATGGAGAGAGGTTTTTCCGCGGACCGGAGGGGGCGTGGTTTTATGTGCTGCCTGTATCCTGCGGGTGGGGCTTTCCTTGTTTGTGTGGACCGGTTGCTGGCATGCCGCGGCCCGGTACTGGTCCATGGACTGGGGGTTGGGGACTCCTGCTCTAAGGTATCTGTCTGAGAGACGGAGTCTGTGCAGAAAATCTGAGGATAATTGGGCAGATTTCAGTCTTCCTGTAAACCCCTGGTAAAATTCCACATTTTGCTGAAACCTGCTCCAGCCAGATTGCTGTGCCTGGGTTGACCCTCTTCTCCATCCTGAGGTATTTGCTATTCCAGACCATCAGCTCATTGCAGAAGCCCTGAGATTAGAGCTGCAGCAATATGGTTGCCAATGTCTGCCTTCTCCAACCGTTCTCTTAGTCAGTTCCTATCATCCCCAACCTTCATGGGTTTTCTAGTGCAGGGAATATAAAACGGTGGAACCATTCCAAGAAAAAGTGTGAAGACACCACCAAACTCTTTGGATTATTTGTGAATGTAGAAACTGCCAGCTAACTGTGTGTTTAATATTCCATTGTTTGCCATGGTAATTTTTTAAAAATTAAAAATGATCTCCTTTAACTTTTCCCCCCCTATAGAGTAGCAGCATAGAGTAGTATAACTATCACTCCATGTGACATAAGGGTTCTCGAATGGAAAGCACAGAGCAAGGAGTTATTTTGCACTATGGACTGTTTTCTTCCCAGGTTGCATCACTGGAAATGGCCATGTTCAGTTCAGAACATTTTCAACATTGCTGATGTACAGTGCTAAAGTGTGTGTTATGGTTATGATTAATAATGACAGATTGAGTAGTTCCTCTTGGCTTTTGTCTTTGAACCCAGAGCAATTAGAGTTGCCCTGTAATTATTGCTCAAATTTAGTTGTCAAATTTAATTTAGATGGACTCCCACTGATGTCATCTTGTGTTCTGAGGGTTTACCTCAAAGCTGCAGCAGTTTTTTCTCCCACACAGTAGCACTTCTGGCTTTCTGGCCCAGGAAACCCCCCCCCCCCCGTTTCCTCCTTTTCTGCGAAGGCAGGTCCAGCCGAGATGGAGTAAGATTACGATAACTGAATATTATAAGTCTGAAAGCGCTTCCCCTCCCCCAGCCTTTACATTCCAGCATATTAGGGAGGGTCCCTTTTACGATACTTTCTCCACCCCATCACTCCTTTGGACTATGATTTCTCTTATCAGATCTTTGTCCAGCTTTTCCTCCTGTCTCCCAAGGTTATTCTCACAGCCTCTTATATCTACACAAATAGGAGAATGCAGCTGAAGTTGGATTCAGGCTCTTTTGAATGCCGAGCTTTGCAACTCTTTCCAGTTTGTCCCCCACCCCTTCCTCCCTCCCGTTGCAAAGCACCAGGTTGCTGCTTGAAGGGTTTTTTTTTGAATAACTGTGTTGATAATTGTGTTGCTTTAAAACAGCGTTTTCCAACCATGGCAAGTTTACAGATGTGTGAATTTCTGGGGAATACTGGGAGTTGAAATTCACACATCGTAAAACTTGTCAAGGTGGAGAAATCAATGCTTTAAACTGAAAACTCGTGGCGGTGGGGAAAAATTCTTGTTGTGTGAGGACAAGTTGTAAGTCACCTTTTTCAGTACCATCATAACTTCCAGTAGTTGTTGATTATAAGTTGAAGAGTATCTGGAATGTCCTGGGGGTGTTTTTCTTTTTTCCTGGGTCTTAATCAACCAGAAAGTTTATATAACTCTTCTCAAAGGAGTCTTCCAGTGAGAGAATATGTTGCTGATGATCTGACACCAAGCTCTTTCTTTTTTTCTGTTCCAGAATAAAGTCTTGAATGTGGATGGTGTCAAAGTAAAACTGCAGGTAAGCCAAGCCATGTGTCAGTGTTGATCCTGAATGTTTTGCTGTTTGTTGCAGGTGTGGCTTCTGTAGAGCAACCAGCGTCCTGTTCGATTCAGATGTTGTTTATTTGTTAGCATCTCTCCTAGTCGCCTCCTGGACACAGAACAACTTGTTACAGGCAGAGGGAACAGCCAGCCTGAGCCGACTTGGAGGAGATGTTCCCATAAAGGCCTTCTGTACCAACCCAACATGGGTTTATAGATTAAACTAACACTTTCAATTCTTCTCAAAAACCTAAAGAAGCCAGAGCTGCATCTGAAATATTGAAGTTATACTGCCAAACTAAAGTTCTATTGCTGGATGGAATTCCAAAAATAGAGTAGAGTAGAGTAGAGTAGAGTAGAGTAGAGTAGAGTAGAGTAGAGTAGAGTAGAGTAGAGTAGAGTAGAGTAGAGTAGAGTAGAGTAGAGTAGAGTAGAGTAGAGTAGAACAGAACAGAACAGAACAGTACAGAATAGAATAAACAACTTGACTTTAATGGCCAAGTGTGATTGGACACACAAGAAATTTGTCTCCAGCATATACATACAAGCAACAAAGTGATAAATCATAAATCAGTCATAAGATACAATCATAAATAATAAAATATAACCAACAAAGTGATAATCATAAAATATACAAGGTTTGAGAAATAGTGATGTTTTATTGTCCTTAAGCAGCACATTGTAGACCTGAACATGAGGCTCTGCTTTTCCTCAAACCTATTTGCTCTCAATTTTCTGTCCCAAGTGTTCCAGGTATCTTTTTTGCCCATCTCCTGGCAAACTAACACCCACCCAGTGGTCTCTGGTCAGGAAGAGACGCAAGTGGGCAATCTAATCCAGCACCATAGCAGCCGCTGTATAAGTGCTTAACTAGATTCATCAAAGAATTTCCCATGGTGTTGCTGGTTGCCCTCAAGCATCTGTGGTAATCCAAGCAGATCCAGAAAGCACCTGTGATGGATCAAAGACCACTATGCTGCAGAGGTTGATAATGGTGACTAGCCTCAGGCTGATCACAAAATGACCTGCCCATGGCAAAGAACTACTTATCAAGTGTTCCATCTTCAGCTCATGCTCTGATCCACCTTCATAGGTTAAGCCAGCTGTCCCTTCAGACAAGCTCAGGTTGTCGTGCCAGGTTCTGTCATCTCCTACTGAGGTCTCTTTGCAGAACCTTCACATATAACAACCACTGTATGACTAATTGTGGGAAGTGATAGTCAGAACAAATCCTAAAGAGCCCCATGGCTGATCTGAAATGTCTGTTCATTGATGATGGTCATAGCCTTCTTTCTCAATAATGTCTATGATGTACAAGTTTGCCTCCCTCACTGATTCCCTTATCTCACTTGGCTAGATTATATCCATGCCACTATGACCATCCACCTCCTCCTTCATTTCACATATATGAAGTTATCCATCTGAACCTTCTTTACCGGTGTAATTCTCCCCTGAGATGCTTCCACCGTCTTTCCACCAAACAATGCATGCTGCCTCCTCTTTGCCAACATAACTTTTCAGTAAAGTATTATACTCTTGGTAAAATCATGTCCCAGGAGTTTCCTTTTCTGGAAATGCCAACTGGGCAGTTGACAGTCCTCCTCTTTGCCTCTTAATGTTCTCTTTGGTCAACATTATTCTTTGTTCTTCTCTTCTACAACTGCTTTCTTCTTCATTCATTTCTGCACACGTTCTCCTTCACCCCTTTCACTTTCTCTGCACTTTCAGTTGTCCAGGTAACTTCCTTCCATATTGATCTCCTGCCAGCCCTATCATTCCTCAGCATACTACACTTTCTGTCCCTGTTGATGGACTCTTGGGTCATTTGCAAAATGGAGGTGGGGAAGCCATTCCATTCCTTCAAGAAGAGAAGTGCCAAAACTGCAAAACCGCTGAGCAGTTATTGGACTGCTTGCCATTTTTAAAACTGGCAGTTATCTTGCCTTCTTCCAGGAGCTTCAATTCACACACACCGCAGAGGGTCTGTGACAATTCACTGCAGCCAACTCGCCACAGCCAGTTCACTACGGCCAACTTGCCACGGCCAACTCACCATGGGACAAGAGTTACACTAATATCAAAGAAATGGGGAAGTAAAATCATTAAAGAAAGGACGCAAAAGGAGAAACAGAATGAAATGTGAATGACAAAAATTAAGGTAGTTTGAGTTGAAAGTAACACAGTCGAGTCATTTGATGAACTTCCATGACTGAAGGTACAACCCAAATTTTAGTTTTAGTCCTCCACCTTAACCATTCCGCCTGAGTATGTACCCCACTGTGCATGGAAGAATGGCCTTTAGCCGAGATGCACGCTGGTTCTAGCACTCAAGATGATTAATTTGTTTATTTTTTAAAAGCAAATATTTCAGTCTGTATATTACCTGCCATAATTGAAGTTCATTATGAAGTCCAAGTAGATAAATATTGGAAAGTAGTCATTCAGTGGAAAAGTTGTGACGTGAATAATAAGTTACAAACACTGCCATACCAAATAGCAATGCTGCACCAAGAATTCTGATTAGTATTTTAAAGGAGATGAGAACTGTGATCTTCCAGATCTACAGGTCCCAGCTTCGTTCACTATTCCCCAAGATGGTGTCGTGGGAACAACACCTGAATAATCACAAGTTTCCCACCAGAAGTGCTACAGAGACAGTATGTGTGAATAACAACAACAGCAGCAACAACAACAACTCTTGGAATAAGATGGGGAAGGCTGAGTTGGGTTTTTCCCTGTAACCCATTCGAGTGTGAAGCTTTGTGGTGGTAATTTTTCTATGAGGCAAACATTGACTAAACATGCAGCGCAACATCTATGATGAGACTTTGCACACTGCTCATAATTTAAGAAGTTGCTAACAAGATGACATTATTGCTCTTATTCTATTTTTAATCCATTTTCTTTCTATTTTTGAGTAGGCTCAGACGCTTCTTGTTTATTCACAGGTATATGAATTAGATTTTTTTTAAAAGAAATCAAATTTATCTTAACCACCAATTCTTTCAGGCAAATCTGCCATCTTTCTTCTGGTGGGTGGTGCACGCACTAATTTAATAAAGCATTTTACCAGAGAATCTAAGCTTAATCTTTTCTAATGAGTTCTCCCTGTCTTGTTTTGCTCTGCTTATCTAAGAACTGCACATCAATCAAATAAGTAAACAATTTCCTTGCACCTTAGTGATTAAGAGGGAAAACACCCACCATTTTTTGAAGGACTGAGCCTTTTTTTTTTAATTCCTTGTGGAAAAATCACCCCTCTGACCATGGAACCCATAAACCCAATTTGAAAAACCCCAGTGGAAAAAAATATTTTGCAGGATCCAGTGACCAGTGATCAGTCACCGAGACCAGAGGTTTAGCCATCTGAGCTTTTGGACTTGTGCTGAAGCCCATCCTCAAGGAACTTCTCTCTAGCAATTTTGGGCTATTCTGTGTGTAGTATTTATGTGGTGCCTGGTTGTGTGTGGCTTTTTGGTTGTTGACTGGGGTGTTCATGGTCGGCTATTAAGTCATTGGCTGTTGTTTCCTTCTAAAAGCTCGGAAGACTGAAACTTTGGTCCCAGTGACCGACCCAGATTGGATCTTAAATAATAATAATAATAATAATAATAATAATAATAATAATAATAATAATAATAATAATAATAATAATAATAATAATAATAATAATAATAATAATAATAATAATAATAATAATAATAAAGTTGGAAGGGACTTTGGAGGTCATCTAGTCCAACCCCCTGCTCAGGCAGGAACCCTACACCATTTCGGACAAATGGCTGTCCAGTCTCTTCTTAAAAACTTCCAGTGTTGGAGCATTCACCATTTCTGGAGGCAGGTTGTTCCATTGATTAATTGTTCTAACTGTCAGGAAGTTTCTCCTTAGTTCTAAGTTGCTTCTCTCCTTGATTAGTTTCCATCAGTTGCTTCTTGTCCTGCCTTCAGATGCCTTGGAGAATAGCTTGACTCCCTCTTCTTTGTGGCAGCCCCTGAGATATTGGAAGACTGCTATCATGTCCCCCCTCGTCCTTCTCTTCGTTAAACTAGACATGCCCAATTCCAGCAACCGTTCCTTATATGTTTTAGCCACCAGTCCCCTGATCATCTTTGTTGCTCTTCTCTGTACTCTTTCTAGAGTCTCAATATCTTTTTACATCATGGTGACCAAAACTGGATGCAGTATTCCAAGTGTGGCCTTACCAAGGCATTGTAAAGTGGTATCAATACTTCACGTGATCTTGATTCTATCCTGCAACATTATCCTAGGACATGTAGATTCGCCTTCATTGGTGAAAATTATTTTGTTATCTATAAATTACATTTCATAGATATAAAACTGCAGTTTTTTCAACATAAATATTTCCTATATATTGGTCCCCAGTATGGAAGAAATTGAAAAATTCAGCTAATGGTTGGAAATGCCACACTAATTCAAATGAGACAGGTGAAGGCTCCCTTTATGTAGAAACGCAATACGCCTCAGATGAAATAGTTTGGCGTTTCCAACAATTAGCTGAATTTTTCAGTTTCTTCCACACATTAATAAGTTGCTCTGGAAGGCTCACTGAGTTTGGAACAGTTCATTTTCTTTTGAACTGCACACCAATTGTGTGGAAAGTAACAAGAGAACAAAGAAAGTGAACCCCGAGGAACCGTACAATGAAGAAGGGCTGATATTACTCCAGGCCCGCCTGTCTAGCATGAGTTGGACAAGGATCTCATGAACTTTCTTTCTTCCCATATTTGAATGTTCTGTTGCTGGAAGACTGAAGGGGCCATTTAGAAATTTGGTCTGTAATTTTGAAAGCATCTGTTTGCTCTCACTTTTCCCCCACTTCTGAAGTTAAATTTACTCAAAAGTATACAAGGTAATTCTGAGCATATGCTTAAGACTAAATTGCTTAGGCGTTCGTATGAACACCTTTTTTTATTTACTATTTATTTTTTGCAAAAAAAAAAAAAAGGTTTGGTCACTTTATTTATTTATTTTTGCTCATTTAACCTAGACATAAAATTGTGTGTGTTGTCCTCTTATATCCCCTGGATGGAAGAAGTGTGAGATATGGACAGATGTTAACAATATTTGCCTGGCACAATAAGATCACAAATAAGTTTAAATAATTAACTGTGGATGCCAAGACTGACACAACTATTTGCCTAAAGAAGCTGGAGAGACTTTTCTCTGAGTATCATCCCCCACCCATGGTAAATTCCATCAGACAAATGTATTGATATTCCTAAAAGAGTCCCTCAGCCACAACAATAGTATTTTTTAAACATTTCACTGACCATTAAAAAAACGAAGCGGTCACTTTTCCTCGAGAAACTGTATCCGTTTGGATCCAGATCAAAACAGCCTCACTTGATCTATTTGAACTGAATGTAAAACGGTACTTGTGGCTAAGTTATATCCAATTTATTGAAAGGGAAAATTTGTGTTTGGGATTTGTAATACTTGTACAGCAAGACAATAGTTGTATTCTCCTTTCTCCCTCTGGGTGGACTCTCTGGATATTTATATTCATTAATTTAATACATTTATACGGTTGCACAGCTCACACTTGGTGACATCAACACTTGGGTCTAGGACAGGGGTAGGCAACCTTGGCTCTTTTATGACTCGTGGACTTCAACTCCCAGAATTCCTGAGCCAGCATAGCTGGCTCAGGAATTCTGGGAGTTGAAGTCCACGAGTCATAAAAGAGCCAAGGTTGCCTACCCCTGGTCTAGGACAACTCACCTCAGCCAACCCGCCACAGAACAACTCGCCGTGGGACAAGAGTCACACTAATATCAAAGAAATGGCGGAATAGAACAATTAAAGAAAGGATGCAAAAGGAGGGACAGAATGAAATGTGACTGATACAAATTAAAACATTTTTTAAATTATTTTGAATAATTAAATTGAATTGTTCCATGGTGAGTTGTCCTGCGGTGAACTGGCCATGGCAAGTTGGTCATGGTGAGTTGTCCCATTCTGTCCACACTTTGCCCGCACTTTTTCAAGTGGTTTTCTGCTTTTTGCCCTTTTCAGATTTGGGACACTGCTGGCCAGGAGAGATTCCGCAGTGTCACCCACGCTTACTACCGGGATGCCCACGGTAAGAACCTCTTGTGACGTTTTGAGAAGTCGGTTCCTTGTGGAAGAAGGCTGCCATCTTGAATACACTGTAAAAGCCCTGCCTGTGGTCTTCCCTTTCGATTTTTATATTGAAAATTGAGCCTCGGAAGACGATAAGAAATGTATTTCACACGCTTGCTTACTTGTGAAAATGATGCTGCTTGTTCATTTTCCCAGGCTAGGAACATTATCAGTTGTTGGTTGTACCAGCCAGTCAGAGCTTGTTAAAAGAGAAAGAGTAAGAAAGGATATAAACAAGCAAGTTTGTAAGTGAGGAAAGATGAAGGAATCGGAAATTGAGGGTGATAGATTCAAACATTTTTGTACCAAGAATTGAAAAATAGCCAAGTGAGGTAATCACTGTCTGAAATTACTGTTCGCAAAGTGGAATGAGCATTAAAATTGCTCTCTAGTTCTGCCCGAGCTTTTAGAACAATTAACCAGTGGAACAACCTGCCTCCAGAAGCGGTGAATGCACCAACACTGGAAGTTTTTAAGAAGAGACTGGACAGCCATTTGTCCGAAAGGGTATAGGGTTTCCTGCCTGAACAGGGGGTTGGACTTGATGACCTCCAAAGTCCCTTCCAACTTTATTATTATTATTATTATTATTATTATTATTATTATTATTATTATTATTATTATTATTATTATTATTATGGATTATCACACAGTCAGCCAAATGTTCAGACTGGATTTGGCATTTTGTCTACCTATCGAGTCCTTACCAAGGACCTCGGATATTATTATTATTATTATTATTATTATTATTATTATTATTATTATTATTATTATTATTATTATTATTATTATTATTATTATTATTATTATTATTATTAATCATCACACAGTCAGCCAGATATTCAGACTGGATTTGGCATTTTTGCCTACTTCTCGAGTCCTTACCAAGGACCTGGGATAGGCAATGTGGATGTTTGATGGTATTACAGATATCGTCGCAGGATGGAAGCAGTTCCTAGTAAGGCCGCCTTTTGCAATTGACTAATAGCAAATTTGTCAATGCCAATGGTGTTTAAGTGGTGCTCAAGTTGTTTTGGGATTGCACCCAAGGCACCTATTACTATTGCGTACTATCCTTGCTTGCTTTTGCCACAGTCTTTCTATTTCTATTTGTAGGTTTTTGTATTTTGTTATCTTCTCCAGTTCTTTCTCGTCTATTCTGCTGTCTCCAGGCACTGCCACATCCACTATTCAGACTTTTTTGTCTTTCTTATCGACAGTTGTTCAGTCTGGGGTGTTATGTTGCAGGTGCTTGTCTGTTTGAATTCTGAAGTCCCAGAGCAGTTTAATTTTATCATTTTCTATGACTTTCTCTATTTTATGATCCCAGCAGTTTTTGCTTACAGGCAAATGATATTTCTTGCAGATCTTGCAATGCACCATTGTTGCTACTTTGTCATGCCGCTGCTTGTAGTCAGTCTGTGCAATCTTCTTGCAGCAGCTTACCAGGTGGTCCACTGTTTCTTTAGCTTCTTTGCATAGGCGGCACTTACTGTCTGTTGCTGTCTTCTCAATTTTGACTTTATATGCATTTGTCCTTAAGGCTTGGGCTTGTGCAGCCAGAATTAGTCCCTCGGTCTCTTTCTTCAATTTTCCTGCTCTTAGCCATTGCCAGGTCTTGTTATTATCTGCTTTCCCAGCTACTTTTTTTAATGTACTGGCCTTGAGCGCTTTGTCTTCCCATGCCTCTATTCTGTTCTTCATTTGGTCTTTCTTGTAGGCCAGTTTGGTCTCTCCAGTAGTCAGTAAGCCTTCCTGATATACTAATTTCAGTGCATCTTCATCATTGTCCTTCAGATATTCTTCCAAAGTCATTTCTTCTTCTTCTTCAACCATCTGATGTACTTGCAGCATTCCACGTCCACCTATTTGCCTTGGTAGATAAAGTCTGTCAATGTCACTTCGTGGATGAAGGGCATGATTCATTGTCATTATTTTTCTGGTCTTCCTATCCATTGCTTTTAGTTCTGCTTGAGTCCAGTCCACTATTCCAGCTGTGTATCTAATGACTGGAATTGCCCAGGTGTTGATTGCCTTTATGGTATTTCCTCCATTGAGTTTGGACTTTAAGATCTTCTTCACTCTCTTGATGTATTCACCTCTAATCTTTTTCTTGACTTCAGTGTGCTTGATGTTGTCAGCTTGAAGGATACCCAAGTATTTGTAGTAATCTTCCTCATTCAGACTCTTAATGTTATTTTCGTGGGGCATCTTGATTCCTTCAGTTTTCACTATTTTTCCTTGTTTGATAGTAGGTGTGGCACACTTGTCCAAGCCAGACTCCATTGCAATATCTTGGCTATATATACGGACAGTGTTGAGCAGCAATTCTATTTCAGATGATGTTTTTCCATATAGCTTCAGATCATCCATGTAAAGGAGGTGGGATAGTCTGGCAGATGTTTTTGATGTTTGATAGCCATGTCCTGAGTTATTCAGTATTGTTGACAGAGGAAACAGTGCAATAACAAATAGTAATGGTGATAATTAATCTCCTTGAAATATTCCTCTCTTGATGTTAACCTCTCCCAGTCTCTCACCATTGACCTGCAACTGTGTCTTCCATTCTGCCATCGATCTTTGCACAAATTTTCTGATGTTTCTACTGACTCCTGTTATTTCTAGGCACCTGATTATCCAGTCATGTGGCAGAGAGTCAAATGCCTTTTTGTAGTCAATCCATGCCACATTCAGGTTGGTCTTCCTTTTCTTGCAGTTTTCCAAAATCATTTTGTCTATTAGGAGTTGATCTTTTGTTCCTCTGCTATTGGGTCGGTTTCCTTTCTGCTCAGGTGGAAAGAGTTTGTTTTCAATTAGATGCTGTTGTACTACATCAGCTACTACACCAGTTAGCAATTTGAAAGTTGTTGGTAAGCAGGTAATTGGCCTGTAGTTGCCTGGTGTTGCCCCTTTTGCTGGATTTTTCATTATTAGATAGGTTTTCCCAGTTGTTAGCCACTTTTCAATTTCTCCTCCTTGTACTATATTGTTGAACTGTTTGGCAATGAGTGGATGTATAACAGTTAGATGTTTCAACCAAAACTCATGCAGTTCATCTTCACCTGGTGCTGACCAATTTTTGATCTTCCTTGCTCTTTTTTCTACCATTTTTGTTGTTATTACTAGTTCTTTCATTTCAACTTCTGTTTTATTTGCATCCACCTCTTTTAACCAAGCCGCATCCTTGTTGTATTTCTTTGGGTTATCCCATATCTGCTTCCAGAACTGCACTGTTTCTTCCTTNTGTTTGTTTTTCTTCTTTGTTGATTTTGCATCCCAGGTATTCAGTTATAACTGCAGCTGTGCTGTACATTAGTTGGTTTGTTTCTTGCAGTGAATTGGTGCTTATACTTGATATTGCAGTATTTGCATCTTTTAAGGCTTGTGCTAGCTGTTTCTTTGGAACAGGTTTCAATGCAGGCAGCCTTATTCTGTTGTTTCTGTGCTGTTCTAGATGCTCAGTTATTCTTTGTTTCAATTCTTTTATTTCTTTAGTCAGTGGGTTTTGTTCTTCCTGAGGAACAGGTGCCTGGTTTCCAAATGAGAACAGTTGTATATCTCTGCTGGATTCCTCCACTGCCATCTCCCCCTGGTTTGCCTCTACATTCTGAATTACTTCTGGCAAGGCTTTGATTTCTTTGCCCTGGGTAAACCTTTGCAGTTCGTCCAATTCTGTTTTTGTGAATACTTTATTTCGTATTATAAATCGGCGTTGATCTGCTAGTCTCTCTTCTGTTATTTCTGATTCTAGATGTTGTTCTTTCCAGAACTGGTGCATTCATTTTAGATATCCTCTTCTTGTTGGACTTGATCTGTAGTAACAGATCGTTATTTTATTATTATTATTATTGTTGTTGTTGTTGTTGTTGTTTGTTTCAATAACAGCATAATATTTTGTTGATTCCCTTCATGGATAATCACCATGTAATGGGAGGAGATTTGTCCACCACGGGATGTTATGAACTATACCAGTGATGGTGAACCTTTTAGAGACCGAGTGCCCAAACCGCAACCCAAAACCCACTTATCACAAAGTGCAGGGCCGCATCAGCATTGTGGTGCCCTCGGGGGGGGGGGCAGGGAGGCACCTCTGAGTGCCGCCTCTGGCACGCAAAAACTGGGGGCGCAAAAATGGGTCACTGTGCTGCAAGGCACAAAAATGTCCGCTGCTGCACTGCAGAGTGCAGATACAAGGCACTGCACCACGCAAGAATGGGGCAAGGCTAGTGAGCATCACGCAGGCACTAGCCCCACCCCATTTGCAGCAGGTGCATGCTCGCGGCCCCGTGCGCGCATGCAAGCATGTAAAATGCTTTCCCCTCCCTTTTCTTCCAGTCCACCAATTGACAATGGTTGGTGACCTCTGCTCTACCACCTTACTTGAGCTTGCTAGTTTGCCGCTTCACCTCCTTTGTACTGGGTGGGGCTCCTGCTCCAGGCAGTGGTGGTGGCCTGATGGACCTGCTGCTGGCAGCAGTGGCACGTGTGCCAACAGAGAGGGCTCAGTGCCGTCTCTGGCACGCGTGCCATAGGTTCGCCACCACTGAACTATACTTTTGGTCCAGAAGGGTCACCCTTGATGGCCATGGGATAGACAACTGCAATCCCCTAGAGAAGGAAATGAGATCCTCCTCCCCACCAGCATTCTATCCAGAGAACCCAGTGGACATTAAGAACCAGGATAGAGTCAACATGCAACTGGAAGATAAGTTCCTGGGGTGGTAAATATCCAGGAAACTGTTGAGGAAGAACAGAGGGTGAGTATCAGTAGCATTACTGCTGGTGATATGACTGGATTAAAGCTGGAAGGACAACCAGCTGCCATTGTGCCCAGAAGCAAACTGTGAAGATATATATACTCTTGGTACATGGAATGACAGAACCATAAGCACAGATAATCTCAGAACTGAAATGTCAAGGCTGAAGTTTGACATTCTGGCAGTTGCAGAGCTGAAATAG